GTCCAGAGAGCAGCTGCAGACTACCCAGATGCAAGAAGGATTTCTTTGCAACTTCATGTTAAAATGACAGCACCTCTAACGTCCAGACTAAATGTGTCCTAGAGGCTGGAATGGAAATAGCATTTATTTCTGCCGGGTCTGGGTTTGCAAGGAACCTGTGTATCAGGCCAAGTTCTGCTGGTGCCGGATCTTGTTGGGAAACGGCAAGGTAATACGTAGGTGTATTAGGTGATTCTCTGAGCTGTGTCTGCTTCTGACACAACATAATCAATACTCCTTTCACTTGATCTACTAACTGGGCAATGGAGAAGTCTTTTTATTATTATTGTTTGTTGTTCTTTTAATCCTGGAGAAGATCTGAAAATATTTAGGATAATGCAGACATTCCTATTTTGAGTTCCTGTGGATGTATTTCTGTAAGCTTTTAAAGTGACTAATGAGGGTGGTTGACCAGCAGCATGCTACACATAGGCATCTCCTTGGCTCTTGCATCTTCCTTACAGAGAAGTAGCAAGTGCCAGCCCTTACTTTGGGTAAATGGTGCCAGGGTGAAAAATAGGGCAGCTGCTCCAGTACTGAAATCTCCCTGCTAATAAAAGTAGTATGCCTGGGACAAAATGAGCCTTTGGGGGGTCAAAGTTAGGTAAGTGCAGGCCCAAACAGCTCAAGTCCTAGGCTAGGAGTATATGAAATGCAAACTCCTTGTGGGTCAACAGAGGTTGGAGCAGACCTGTGTGGCCAAGACCTGTCCTCCAGGGTGGAACTGGAGTGGGGAGGCGGGGGGAGCACAAGGAATCCAAACTTCCGATTTTCAAAGATCTGTCATACTGGGATGGGTCCCAGCCACTTCGTGTCTGTTTTTTCCCCAGAGTTTACAGGTGCAGAGTGCCAGTATGAACCATGATCATCCCTGGGCTTAGCAGAGACTGATGCTGCTGGGCTGGGTGCATGAGAAGGGGCCGGTGGACGCCTCTGCAGGGTCTGGGGCAGGTGCCCGGTCTCCCCGGCAGCACGGGGCCCTCTGTGCCCAGCCCTTGCGTGGGCTCTGGTCTCCTTCTGAAGAGTTGCACCAAAACGTGACCCAGTTCTGGCTTCCCTCCAAAGAGCGAGGCTCTTGGAGGTAAGGTGGTTAGGTTGTTCTCCAGCAAATTTCTGCAGCTCATATGAGGCAAATGAGGGCCACAACCAAAGATTTCTCCCTTCTAAATGAACGCTCGTGCTACAAAATCGTGCTGGTTGTGTTATCCCATCTCTTACCCGAGGCCCCTTGGTGAGATGAGGAGCAGCTTCCCCGGGGTTAGTTAGCCGAGTATTGATTTGCCCAAGAAAAGTGCAGGATTTTGGTTAATCCCAGTCAGCAGGGGGCAGGGTAGGACACCCTATTGGAGAGTTGATGTTCCTCCCGCGCGCAAACTCTTCTCTTTTCTGCCGAATATTAGCTGACCCTTTGCAATTGCGATGCTGCGGCGCTGCCCGTAGCAGGACTGGGGCGGCAAAGCCCCTGCTGGGTGGCGCAAACGCAGTCCGAGGCGAGCCGTGCCGGCGGGGGCCATGCCGGGGGGAGGGGTTCCGGGGGGGCC